AAAAGCCGGGAATTTTTATGGTGGGGGGTTTTTGAAAATAAATTTGGATCAGGCTCTATCTTAATAATTAAAGTATTTTTGCCAAAAAGGGTGCAGTTTAAAAGCAAATTTTTCCCTTTTTCCCTTTTTTTTTTGGGGGTTTTTAAAAATTTCTTCTAAAGAATCTTTAAAGGGAAATTACAGTAAAAAACCCTCAATTTAAGACCATCATTTGGGGCTGGGCCCAAAAAGGGTTTAATGCGGGAGGGGGGCCCTTTAAATTTGATTTCTTAAAATTGGGTTTTCACAAATTTTTTGACTTTTGGGCTTAAAATTTTTTTTCATTTTTTTTTGAACAAAAAAGTATGTATTTTTTAACCTGTAAAAATTTTCAAAAATAAAAAAATTTGTTTTAAAATTTTAATCAAAATTTTGAAAGGAAAGAAACATTTTTTTCTGGGAAAAAAAAGTTGAATTTTAAAATTTTGGTCTGCTTTCCCAAAATTTTTTAATTTTTTATTGGTTTTAAAAATTTCACCTTTTCCCAAATTAAAAAAATTAATTCTTTTTTTTTTAAAATTTAAAAATTTATTAACGTACCACTTAAAAAAAATTTACTTTTTACCTTTAAAATTTTTTTCATTCAATATTCAAAAAAATAACAGTTTTTTGACACCCCCTTTTGAAAAACAAAGCGTCAACCCTTTTAAAAATTTTCAAACAGAAAAATAACAACCCCTAACAAACAAAAAATTTTTAAAAATCTAATTTAATAGATGTTGAAATTTTAATATAAAATTGGGTTAATATTGGGGGGCAAAAAAGAACAAAAAAAAAAGAAATTTGGGAATTTAAAACTGGGGTGGGTTTTTTTTAAAAGTGGGGATTTAAACGAGGTTTGGTTTTAAGTTGGAAACATGCTAACCATTTTAAAAATAAAGAACAGTTCTTAAAAAAAACCGTTTTTTTTTTTTAAAATGGTCTTTTAAAAAGCGGGGGGGGGTCCTTTAATTTTCCCGGGGTTGGGCCTTAAGTTTGGGTTTCTACTTTTTATTTGCCTTTTATTAAAAATTTTTTTTTTATAAAAGTAAATTTGGTTTTTTCCCCTTTAAAAAGGTCTTTTTTGGACTTAAAGTGATTCCCCAAAATTTTGCCCTTTTTATGTTTATTTAAATTTTGGGAAAATTTTTTTGAAATTGGAATATAAGGGAAAAAATTTTTCCCCGGGGTTTCTTTTTTTTGTTATTCTGAGGGACCTTTTTAAAATTTAAAACCCGGGGTTTTCCTTTCCCTGGAACCTGTTTATTTTTCTATAAATTTTTTAAAATTTCATGTAAGGGCATTTTTTTTAAGGAAAATTTGGGCCAAAAGGAAAAGGGAAAAGAAAAACTAGGTGTTCCTATAAATTTTTTAATACGTTAACAGTAAAGTTGGGTTTTGTTTTCCCCGGAAGGAAATGTATAAAACCCCTTTAAACAGATGAATTTTTTTTCCCAAAAATTTTTTTTGTTACATTTTTAAATTAAAACCCAAAATATCAATTTTAAACCCAAATTTTTAAATATCAGATTTTCACAAAAGGAAAATTTTTGAATTTTAAAGAAAAGTTTTTTTCCTCGATTAAATTAAAAAGGTTTTTTGTTTTCGAATAATATTGAGTACGAACTTGGGGTGGTTTTAACCCAAAAAGTTGATTTCCCCCTTTTCAAAATTTTCCCTTCCTTCCCCTTTTTGTCGCAAACCCTGTCTCTCTGTCGGCAGGTTTTTTAAAAGGTCCACGTCTGGGGTCCGGGACAGGGTTTGGGCTAAACTGTACTTAAATCAGGCCCAAAAATTTTTTAAAAGGGGAAAACCCCAGGGGGCGGACCCAAAAGGGGAAAATTTACATTTTGGGATCCCCCTGGGGGGGTAAAAAACTATTTAGTTCAAAATTTAAAGTTTTTAAAATTTCGTGGGGTGGGGGGTTTAAAAAATTTTTTCTGGAGTTATATAAAAAAAGGTTTTTTTTCCAGTTTGGTTAAAGATTTTTCTGACATTTACCCAAAGGGTGACCCCGGTTTTTTAAAACTATTGGAAAATGAAATTTTTTTATACTTTTTAAGATTTTTTCAGCTGTTTAACATGTTTTTCATTACCATAGATTAGTCCAGTGAAATTCACAGGACGTTTCTTTGTGATATTTTTTACTCTTTAAAACAGCCAGCTTTTGGGGGTTTCCAAAATAATATATTATTTACATTAATGGTCTTATAATATCTCATGTTTATAGGATGGATTCCAGTTACGTCACACAGAGTCATAGATACAGCTCTGCATTTACTAAAAATTTGACCATATTAGCAAGGAAGTGGCTAGCCAAAAGTTCTAGCTGAATGTGAGTCACGTAGGACTAGCCTGGACACACTGTATTGTCTAGCTGTACAGCACTTTTTAAAATTATATGAAATTCGAAAATGCATATGTTCTTTTGTGTCTTTAAACAAGGATTTTTACCAAGGACCCACGTTTGTCCTCGTACTTTATTATTAAATATGCTTTGTAAAAAAAAAAAGAAAAAGAAGGAAAATTATGATAGCGTTGTCATCACGATAAAAGTGTCAAAGTTACATTACGCATTATACAAATGACATGTATATGCATATGCAAAGTTATAACTATGATTAAATAATAAATAGTTTAAGTTATAACGTTTTTGTTTTTTATGATTATTTAAGATTTGTTGTTGTTTTTTATGTATGAAAGATGAATTATTAAATCATTTTTTGTTGATTAAGCACATGGAATGAATAATCATAACGGCCAAAGAAGCTTGTTTCATAATGGCATAGAGGTGCGCAGTTTAACCGGTGTACCGGTAAACCACGGTCCGAGACATCTGCAGTACAGACCTGGAAAACCGGTACTCTTAGCTCTAATTTAAAGCAATTACAGATCCATAAAATGTACTTAATTAAAAAACTGTTTCTGTTGTATATGTCAATGTTTCTTTGAGTTAACCTTTTTGCAAACAACTTCGCCAACTGTTATCATTCTTCGATAGTTCTTAGCGAAAATTGAATGCTTTATCGATTACCGCATGTAAGCCAGAATTGTCGACTTGCATGATCTCAGTTGAAGAAGCAAGAATTGTTGACTTACATTTACTTGTCCAAATATCGCTTATTTGATACGAAAACTAATCATAAATATTGGTAATTTATGAAGGCATTCCTTGCATAAAATTAGGGTGTTACTATCTTAAGTATTTATATAAATAGCGATCAATCAGGCTAGGGGTTCTCCTTAAGTCACGCACTTACTGCATGCGCATGGCAATTAACTAATTATAGAACGGCGTAGAAACTGGATTAAAAGTAATGTTCGTTCAACTAATGAATATTAATTAAGCAGTAACATGGTCAGCTGTTTTCTATGTGATAATTTTAATTTGCTTTTGGGGTACATGTTTGTTTTGGTTTCTGACACAGATTAATTAAATACTTAGCTCTTGCAATAAAAAATTTACAATAGCAGCTGGGACTCTGTTATAAAATTAACCGACAAATAAATATTTGTCATCGGCTAACGTGCATTTGACCTATTATTTTATTAATCAATAAGCAATAAAAACATTTTATTTTTCCATTTTAACTATGCAATTTATATAACAGTTGTTAAATGTTGAAAGAGACCAATATATAATAAAAAAAACAACAAGAACTGATCCATGACCCAATTAATTTATGATTGTCAACATGCGAAAGTACCTGATTGAAAAAAGTTAAATGATGCTTTGATTAATCTGTATTTTATAGATCTGCTTAAATTTAATATTTGAAATTCTGTACCAGCCTACCTTGATACTTATTTTAGAGATAAAAATTAACTTATAGCGTATAATGAAAATCCGTGGTATACCGCGGTTTAGACCGTTGTTTTTAGGAAAAAACCGTGGTATTTTCTTTCTGGCGGTACCCAACTCTATAATGGCATGATCTGAATGGAATGAATAAATAAATAGAACATTGAAAAAAAAAAATATAAAAAAATATGAGCAACTTAAAGCAATTGCTATAATTGTATTTTTAATAAAAGCCCATAGTACAGTGACTTATTAGGACTTTAAGAATGCATTTCATGGAACATGCAAACTTTCCTTACTGTAAAATGATGGACAACTGTCAGTAAATGACGCAATTATCAGAACACATCAACAATTATTTTCGGTGCTTTTTCAGTTTTAAAGGTGTTGAAAATTAAACTTATTGAACCAAAAAAGGACTGTTATAATAATAATGTAAACAATGTTATTCTGACAACTGCACCTAAACACTCCATCTGGAGATGACAACGATCGATATGATTCTGTATTTAGCCAACATGGCGATTCATCTCTAAAAAGTAAACATACGAAGACAATTGATGCTTCCTGGTTAAAATCCTCATTCAAGACATAAAAAACATATGCATTGTCCATTTTCATATAATTTTGAAAAGTGCAATATAATACAGTGTGTCCAGGCTAGCCGTATGTGACTTGCGTACGGCTAGAACTTTTGGCTGTACTAGCTGTATGAAATTATGCGCTATCTTTGTCTATTAAGCGGAAAGTAATAACAACTCTGATAAACATTTAACAAAAATGGCAAACAAGATATTCCCATACATGTGAACTCTCCCACATTTACACTTTCTGCAGCCATATTTTCAAAGATTTTTCTTGAAATAAGGGGTAGCATGGGACTCCGTATTATCGGCGTACTTATCTTTTCCTGTACCTGTCTCCATTGAATTTCATTGATGAATTTAATAATCAATATTCTGTGTAAAGCAGTATAAATTCAACTAATCATTACATCTTTAATTGAATGAGGTCAAAGATTTTTAACTTCAACGTATGCATGACCCCACATGACAAATACTGAGAGTACGACGGTAATAGAGTTGCGCCGATAATACAGAGTTTGAGTATATTTTCACAAATTAAAGAAATCTCCCTCTTTTTAATATCACTTCTTTGTTTATTGCAAATTCTAATTATTTTCTCAACAGGTATATTACAATGGAGATGTTGTTCAGCAGGTGGATTTATCAACCCTAGGTGGATCAGTTGGTATTCTAGCGAGGCATGTACCTATGATAGCTGCACTGAAACCTGGAGTAGTTACAGTGTTTCAAGATAATGATTCTCAGAAAGTATTTGGTATGTGAAATAATAATATATTATTACTCTTAATATTTTGTTATACTGGGGGAAGCATAAATAAATGCAGCCACTGCTTTGTTCTCTCTCACTCACTTGACAGTAAGAGTTTTGTGTTGGTGTAAAAGTTGACATGATGAGGTTCATTCTGTGTTAGATTCTTCTACTCATTACATTGTTTATGATTTTTCAGCCATATCTTTTATAAAATTATACCATTCAACCATCTTTCACCTGAAATTGTTTTGTCAGCATCTACTGAACTGAATTCATCAAATTTACTACCAAGACAAGGTACTCCCTAGATTCTTGTTCTTCTGTATAGTTGGGGAACAGCCATGATTTCATGATTTCAAATGATATCCTTGCTCTGAAAACAGTCATAAGACATTCTACATTGTTTTGTGTTGTATGCAATTTATTAATGTAAAATATTTATATATTAAAAATATGATTTATAAAATTACAGTTTCATGACTGTTTATGTACTTTGCTTTTACATACGTTAAATAGTATTCTTATTATGGGACTAATTGATAAACAGAAGTTTACAATTGATTTGTTTCAGTTTCCAGTGGAACAGTTACTGTTAACAATGATTCCACTGTGCAAATTCTAGCAGAGGAAGCTTACCCATTGGATTCATTTGATTCAAAGGTATTGAAACATTTGTTTTCTGTATTGATCTTTTCTATTCTCACTGATAAATTATTTTCATTGACCTTAGCTCCATTTCCTTCCTTTCACATCTTTCTGTTAAATTTACAATTTCTCAAATGACATCACCTATCACAAAGTGACATGGTGAGCTTTTGTGATCTCTTTTCGTCCAGCGTCTTCCGTCCCACTTCCGTAAACATTCATTTTATACGACAGCTCCTGGTAAACCGCTGAGCCAATTTCACCAAAACTTCACAGGAATGTTCCTTTGGTGGTCATCTTTAAAAATTGTTCAAAGAATATAATTTCATGCAGAACTCTGGTTGCCATGGCAACCAAAAGAAAAAACTTAAAATATCTCCTTTTAAAAAACCCAAAGAGCTAGAGCTTAGAAATAGATATTTGGCATGAAACATCTTCTAGCGAGTCTCTACCATGTTTGTTCAAATAAAAGCCCTTGGGTCAAAATTGATCCCGCCCCAGGGGGTCATTGTTTTTCCATGTATGCATATATTAAAACTTAAAAAAATCTTTTTTTAAAAAACCCAAAGAGGTAGAGCTTAGATATTTAGCATGAAACCTCTTCTAGTGGGTGTCTACCAAGTTTGTTCAAATAAAAGCCCTGGGGTCATTGTTTTCCCTATATGTATACAGTCGAGACTGCCTTAGCGACCCCCTGATTTCAACGACTCCCTGTCTTAAACGACTTCCTGTCATATGTGACAAGCGACCCTAATTATCTAGTCCCAATGCATTGTTTTGTCTGATTAAAACGACTTTCACACCTTTTAATTGTCCGTTAATCAGATAAATAATACCTGTTTTAACACCCAGAGAGACAAAATAATTAAGTCCAATTATAATCCAGTAGTAAGTACTCTTCAAACAAACTCTACACACCTCTGATTACATGTATATATGCAGGTGTCAAGTGACGTAGCGTCTGGAGTGTCCATAGCGTCTGATGCAATCGATGTGTGTTAACAAATTAAGGTCACAGGTGTAATGAACATAATTTACTGAGTAAACTGGATTAAGACTTGTGTTTAAAAAATTATGGAGTGACAACGGAAGATTTTTTTAGGCAGATTTTTTTTTATTTTACTTTTCTATGGCTGCATGGATAATAAGGAAAAATGTTGATACCAGACTAATATGGATCATATGTCTTTAAAAGTATGATATTTATTTTAAGGATTTGAATGCATCAAATTCAAGTTTATTTTGTACCATAATGATTCAATTTTAAATTAATACAAAAAAATAAAATTAAATTTTATATGAAATACATACTTTTATATTTGCTTTACAGGGACTCTTATTTTATTTACATCAAATATTTAAAGTACCTATGTGTATTTGCAATTGGTTAGATATTATTCCTTCACACAGTTATACAGTATATATGTTTAGTTACAATGGTATATAGACAGATAGATGGTATTTAAATTTTAATTATCCCCCGCCGATGGAATCAGGAGGGGGATATAGTTTTGGCGTTGTCCGTCCGTCCATCCGTCCGTCCGAATTTCGTTTCCGGAGTAGTTCTCTGCAACTACTGGCTGGAATTCAACGAAACTATGGGAATCATCAATATCAAGAGGAGATGCGCATCTGACCGTCCGTCCGTCCGAATTTCGTTTCCGGAGTAGTTCTCTGCAACTACTGGCTGGAATTCAACGAAACTTTATGGGAATCATCAATATCAAGAGGAGATGGGCATATCGTCGGCTTGTTCCGGTCAGACACTTTAACTCAGAGTTATTGCCCTTGATTAGTTATGTAGTATGCATATAGAGTAAAAATTGTTTCCGCGCTACTTCTCTGCAACTACTGGCTGGAATTCAACGAAACTTTATGGGAATCATCAATACCAAGAGGAGATGCGCATATCATCGGCTTGTTCTGGTCAGACACTTTAACTCAGAGTTATGGCCCTTGATTAGTTATGCAGTATGCATATGGAGTAAAAATCGTTTCCGCGCTACTTCTCTGCAACTACTGGCTGGAATTCAACGAAACTTTATGGGAACCTTCAATACCAAGAGGAGATGCGCATATCGTCGGCTTGTTCCGGTCAGACACTTTAACTCAGAGTTATGGCCCTTGATTAGTTATGCAATATGCATATGGAGTAAAAATCGTTTCCGGAGTAGTTCTCTGCAACTACTGGCTGGAATTCAACAAAACTTTATGGGAATCATCAATATCAAGAGGAGATGCGCATATCGTCGGCTTGTTCCGGTCAGACCCTTTAACTCAGAGTTATGGCCCTTGATTAGTTATGTAGTATGCATATAGAGTAAAAATCGTTTCCGCACTACTTCTCTGCAACTACTGGCTGGAATTCAACAAAACTTTATGGGAACCTTCAATACCAAGAGGAGATGGGCATATCATCGGCTTGTTCCGGTCAGACACTTTAACTCAGAGTTATGGCCCTTGATTAGTTATGCAGTATCCATATAGAAAAATATTTGTTTCCTCGCTACTTCTCTGCTACCACCGGCTGGAATTCAATGAAACTTTATGGGATACTAAGAGGAGATGTGCATATAGTCGCCTTGTTCCAGTCAGATACTTATAACTCAGATTTATGGCCCTTGATTAGTTATGTAGTATGCATACATCTCATTGGCATTTCCAGATTTTACTATTTAACACAAAGTTATGGCTCTGTTATTTCCCTGAATATTTATCAATTTCAAAGAATATTACTGTTTATGCCATGATTAATATATAAATAAAGCCTTATGTCTTCAGTTGTTGTGTTAATAATAACCAGTACTCGGCGGGGGATATAAATTCAACGAATTTGCTTGTTTTCTTTGAGACTGTATTAAGAGACTCCCTGTCATATGTGACCTTTTTCTCAAGATCCCATGGAAAGTCACATATGACAGTCTCGACTGTATAGTAAAAACTTTAAAAATCTTCTTTTAAATAAATCCCAAGAGCTAAAGCTTAGATATTTAGCATGAAACATCTCCTAATGGGTGTCTACCAAGTTTGTTCAAATAAAAGCTCTAAAGCCCTTGGGTTAAAATTGGCCCAACCCGGGGGTAGGGCATTATTTCCCTATATGTATATAGTAAAAATTTAAAAAATCTTCTTTTAAAAACCAAAAGAGCTGGATCTTAGATATTAACCCTTTCCCCCATGAGCATATTGTGAAAAATGTCCATTTTTACTGAAAAGCCTCCTCTTACAAGTTCAAACTGCTATGAAACTATGAAAAATGCTTCAATACTTATCAAACTTGGCACAAATGTTGACTGGACCATTGCCTTTGTGACGACATGCTCAGTCTTAAATTTCCTGTTACCATGGCAACGAGGGGACATCTCAAAATTGCCAAAAATCACTATTTTGCCTCGATTTTTTCCATCAAAATTTATTTCAAAGTGCTGCAACTTCTCAAGGGATTGATATAGAGTCAAAGGCTTTTCAGCGTTGGTTACACATTATATTATGATCGACCTGGGGTCATTTTTAGCCTCTCACAAGTCCAAAATTTTCTTGGCGATGAGGGGGACTCCGCCCCCCTTCAAACCCCCCTAACTCCCCCTTCTGGCAACCCCCTGATGTATCTTTTGGATTGGGGGCGGCGCCGAAAAAGTGCTCAATTTTTTGACCAACATTTCTCAAACGAAAACATGTGTTTGGGGCCCAAATAGGACATTTTTTCACTATTTGAGGCCTAAAAAAGGGGGGGGGGTCGAAAATGCGTTGTTTCGCGTATATATGTGGTAAAGGGTTAAGCAATTTTGACCCCAGGGCTTTTATTTGACCAAACATGGTAGAGACTCACTAGAAGAAGTTTCATGGCAAATATCTAACAGGGTGTTCACTTAGACCTTTTTAGCATAGATGTTCACAGCATTTTTCTATATAATTAAATAAACATTCTTAGTGTAATGTTTGTTTAAATTATTTATAAGTTCAAAAGAGTAGCAAGTAACTTCAATGTGGAAAATCTAGAAACATTTGCCTCGCAGGATTTATATATCATACGATTGATTTCTTACAAAAAACTAGGGCGAAACTTTAACAGATGTAAACATAATTCAGCTGCATAAATAAGTGATATTATTATGCCTTTATTTTTTCTTTGCAGGCTGTTGCAAGCAGCATTTCAAATGCCAACACTGCATTGAGCTCGGCTAAAAATGACGAGGAAAAGGCTGAGGCACAAATCGCTCTTGATTGTTTAGAAGAAATCAGTAAAGCTATGGCATAGAACAACAAAACATTATAGATTTTTATTTTCTGATGTGCTAGAACTGAACTTATTTTGGTGAGAAATCCCATGACCAAAGATAATGTGAAAGAAAGAATATGAAAAAATGCCTACATTTTTGCAGGACTTGTTATAGTGTAGATTTATCATAATTGCAGGGATTCTAATTGTTTTGATGAAATATTCTAAGCTGGGATTTCTCTGTGTTGAGGGTTGTTTTTTGTAACTTCACAAGGTTATTGATAAGATGAATAAATTATTCAAAAAAAAACATACAGACCTTGTTAACATTTTTATATGTTAATATAATGAAACAATACACTGAATTAATATTGCCTGTGTCATTATTTGTTTCTGCCTTAAAAGATTGATTATATTACATGAAATTGACTATAATACAAACATATTGTGACTTTATACTGCAGAAAAGTATTAAAGGTTTATCATAAGTTAAATTTGTCTCAAATATCTGAAAAATGGCTCTATTATCTGATGTGTCAACATGTACATGTAATTCAATACAGTCGCTGAATAGTGTGTTTCAGACTCAGTACCTAATTCTTTTTTTACATCCCGTTGTATTACTCGAGAACATGTAAAAATCAAGCAGGGGAACAAGTAGCTCGACTATGAGACATAAAGTCACATTGTAGTAAACCTGTAAAGAACTAAGATAGATCTTTAAATAATGCAATGAATTCCTTGAATTTTCATTTCGGTTAATAAATTGTTTAACTTATTAATTCATCAAATATTGAAATGACAATTTAATATTTGAATCAGTTATTTTATTATTCAACTGAACTTTGTTATTGATAACTACATGTATAAATACAATTTAATCACTGAAACCTGATGCTTCATTTTCTACGAACAAGCACCTCAAAAAAATGTATTGCTCTTTTGTTGGAAACCATTTTTATGTGATAAATGGATCCAACCAATTAAAAGCCCTATGTAAAATAAGTATTTGTATTTAACGTACAGTAAGACAGAGAACATAAATAAAGATAAGTTTTTTTATGGTCATAGAAATCTTTGGCCTATCAACTATAAAATCACAAGGGTCATCTTAACATCATACCAGATCAAGGACACAAGGCTGACATTCTGGAAAGGGGAGATCCCTAAAGTGCAATTAAAAGAAATTAGTGAAAATCTCAATTGTTTGAGTCTTTATATGAAACAAATATCTCCTCCAGTCTAACTCTTAAGAGGGTGAAACAGCTTCAATCTTTAATACTAAAAACATATCGAAACTGAATGATTTCTTAAGTACAAGGAAAGTGGCATTAATTTACCATTCATGGTTAGTGTGTGCTTCTAAACTAGTGGTAGTTCCATCCAATAAAGAAATCTCTTGAGAGCAGGAATTAGACAAATGTTTTTTTTTTTTTTAATTTAAAAAAAATTAATGCTGTTATTACTTGTTTATAATTATAACCTAGAACTTCTTAAATCGGATGTGTTGCCTTGTCAACAGTACTATAGTATAGATGTCAGTTATTTTCTTCTTAAAATATTTTTTAGCACTGCTCTTGCACAGTAATGTATCTTTTCTTTAGTGGCAGAACTGATTGTAACAATGTTACATCAGGATTAATAAAACTGTTATATTATAAAAAATAAAAATACCATGGAAAAGTTTTACTCTCACAGATCAAATGGAGGACTCTGTGATGGATTTTTGTGCCCTGCACTTCAGGTCAATGAAAAAAGCTGGCATATCAAATTTGGAGTCAATCAAAATTATAGTGACCGGCGATAATGAAACTAGAACTGTGTCCTAAGGACACGGATGCCCCCACTGTGCAGATGTGCTCGTAAACAAGAGCATGCATATCTGTATGTAAGATTTTTATGTGGAACTTTTTATTAAAATCTGCCATCCGGTTTAAGAGGAGTTGTGTTCACGAAAAATTTCTATATGGTAATAGTAGTGAAAAAATCAAACAAAGGGCCCAAAATTCTGTTAAATTTGGTTGCAGCAAAAATTCCATCCTTCACTTTCATCTACACATTAAGGTTGTTCATCCCAGGAAGTTTAAGCAAAATCTGCAATCCGATTTAAGAGGAGTTGCGTTCACAAAATTTCTATATGGTATATAGTGAAAAAATCAACAAAGGGCCATAATTCTGTTAAATTTGGTCGCAGCAAAAATTCCTTCCTTTACTACCATCTACACATTAAGGTTGTTCATCCCTTGAAGTTTAAGCGAAATCTGCCATCTGGTTTAAGAGGAGTTGCGTTCACAAGATTTCGAGACGTACGGACAGACAGACGGAAGAACAAATGCAACGCTATATGCTCTCCACTTTGTGGGGGCATAAAAATTATAAAGTACATAGTTCCGTTTCCTTTGTAGTACACTTCTCAATGAGATCTATCATCCTATGAAGTTTCAAGTCCATACCTTTTATAGTTTAGGAGAAATGGCCCAGACAAAAATAAATTATGAAAATTATCAAAGGGCAATAACTAAAAAATCATGAGGAACAGAGTACCTGTTTCTGTGCACTGCACTTCTTCTCAATGAGATCTATCAAACTATGAAGTTTTCAAGTCCAGACTTTTTATTTAGTTTAGGAGAAATGGCCCTGACAAAAAAATGAAGTATTAAAATTAACAAAGGGCAATAACTGAAAACATAAGTGCAAGGTATCGATTCTTTTGCACTGCACTCTGGTCATTGAAAGAAGCATAGATACCAAGTTTGGAGTCAAATGACCTATTAGTGACTCAGTTATGCTCCAGACAACCCGCCGCCGCCGACAAAAGTAACCCCATTATGACGACTTTTTTCAAGGCGACACAAAAATGTCAAAGGAAACCAAACAAGGATTGAGTATTTTAAAACTGTTTTATTCTATTCTACTCCATTCCAAATATATATCATAATACCAAAATTTACTAGTGTATAATCAAATAAACATCTAGAAAAATAAGTTTCTGTAGTGATCCCTGTAAAAAATAGATCATTTCTTTCTAAAAAAAAGACTACTTAGAATTTTCTGTCATTAGAATAATTCTATGTATACTAATAAGGTTGATAGAACAAAATATGATTGAATTCATAATAATTAAATATACATGTATCAAATACAGATGTACCATGTCAAAAGGTAGTCTATGAGGTAAATAACATGAACTTGCAAGAAAAAAAATGAAATATAATTTTATATTTACAATAGGTTTACCCCAATAGCTGTAACAGTGTATTTTATGGAATTTATTACTAAATGTAAGTGCTGAACTTTATTACTCCATACCTACATGACTGGATAACTGTCATTTCTCTGTAGGAACATTCAGTTGGTAAAATGTACAAAAGAACTATTTACAGAAGGATGTGGTCATCCCCTTAATGGTCCCTGAGTCACAGAAAGTAAAATTGTTAATTTATTATAAATGCTAATTCTAGGATTTAGACAACTTTTAATTCCCTGTCAATTCCCCCTATCTGCAGCAATTTATTGATTAATGTATCTATATGTTATAATTTATACCACTTAATTATATAGGTGATCATTATAGAGTAATGTAACTGTCAAACTCGCAGCCTTCCAGTGATGGTGATGACAATAAACATGTACCGCATACTCGAGGTTTCAAGGTTTGGTAGCATAAAAATCTTGACCAAGGTGTGATGTTGAGAGGGGGATACAGACATATGGGTAAGAAATAATAAACCTCTCCCTCTACATATTTATTTACATATACACATGTATATTGTCATGAATGGTAAAAAGCCTACTAAAAACAACTTTCTGCTGAAATTATGTCATGGATTTGCTCTGCTTTTATTTTGAAATTAAAGATTTCACTAGCAAATTACAGAAATATTGCTGTCAACATTATAAAAATATAAAGCCTTGAATGGTGTCAAACTGGTTATGGGTCAACAAACATATACATGTACTGTGACATACACATATAATTAGAGATCAACATTTCATACCAATGCCTAAATTTTGAAAATACTATTTACATACATACCCGGTACTACATTTATTTAACATTTGCAAAAGAAAAAACACCTAGGTTGATGTCACACCATCACCAACATATATAAATTGTTTGACAATTTCATTAAAGTGATAAGACAGTAGGTCAAATTAATCAATATAATAAAAACCATAATAACCAAATTTTTGATTTATCAAAAAACAAAACAAGAGGGCCATGATGGCCCTGAGGTCGCTCACCTGTATATAGCCCCCCCCCCCCCCCCCCCAATGTTGCAGGGCCAATTTAACTCAAGGGCTTTTATTTGAACAAACTTGGTTAGACACCCCATAAGAAGATGTTTCATGCTAACACATCTAAGCTCTAGCTCATTGGGCTTTTTAAAAAGAAGATTTTTTTTAAAAGTTTTTACTATACACATATAGTTAAAAACAATGACACCCCTGGGGCGGGGCCAGTTTTTGACCCCAGGGCTTTTATTTGAACAAACTTTGTAGAAACTTACTAGAAGATGTTTCATGCTTAATATCTAAACTCTAGCTATTTGAGTTTTTTCAAAGAAGATTTTAAGTTTTTGCTATACACATATAAAGAAAATCAATGACCCCCGGGGCGGGGCCAATTTGACCCCAGGTCTTTTATTTAAACAAACTTTGTAGACACTCACTAAAAGATGTTTCATGCTTAATATCTTAACTCTAGCTATTTGGGTTTTTTCAAAGAAGATTTTTTAAGTTTTTGCTATACACATATAAGGAAAATCAATGACCCCCTGGGGCGGTGCCAATTTTGACCCCAGGGCTATTATTCTGAGATCACTGAAGATGAAGTAAGAATGGCTGTAAAGCATATTAAAACTGGTAAAAAACCAGGTCCTGATAATCTAATCCCAGAGTTTTTCATTTACGGTATAGATAGCTTTATACATATACTTGTTAAATTGTTTAATCGACTATTTGCTACAGGCGAGTATCCAGAATCCTGGTGTGAATCTATTATAAACAACACTTCACAAAAAAAGGGGATATAAACAATGTGGACAATTATAGGGGTATAAGTTTACAAAATGTTTTAGGTAAAAATATATTGTGGGATTTTAGTGGCTCGTTTGAATTTTTTTTACACAAATATATAGTAAAATTTCTGAAAAACCAGAGTGGTTTTAAAGCAGGATACTCAACTGTGGATAATGCATTTATTTTAAAATCTTTAACCGATAGACTAGTTAAAAAAAAAAACAAAAGATATTTGTTGCATTCATTGATTTTCATAAATGTTTTGATACCATAAATAGACAAATTCTTTGGAATGTACTTAGAAATGGGGGTGTCAGTGGAAAATTGTATATAGCTTTTCAAAGTATGTATAGAACCGTTAAAGCATGTATTAGATGTAATAATGAAAGAAGTGATTACATATTAAGTTCAGTAGGATTAAAACAAGGTTGTTTGGCCAGCCCGATTCTTTTCTCTTTCTATATAGATGAATTACAACATATTTAGAATGATAGTGGCATAAGAGGAATTCAATTACATCCGTCTGAGACACAACTTTTTATCTTTAATGTTTGCAGATGATATTGCTCTCCTTTCAGATACAATTTCTGGTTTACAAAAACAGTTAGATACTTTGTCATTTTTTTGAGATACATATAAACTTAAAGTAAATGAAAGTAAAACAAAAATAGTTGTTTTTAAAAATGGTGGTACATTATGTAAAATTGAAAAATGGACTTATAAAAAACAAGCAGATTGAAGTTGTTTTAATGCTTTTAGTTACATTGGGTTTAACATTTTACAAGACAAACTTTCTATGAAAAGAATGGTACACGAGTTATGCATAAAGGGTAAGAGGGTTTTTTATATCAATCTTAAAATCCTTGTATGATTGTGGCCAATTAAATAAGAAAGTATTTTTTAAAACTATTTGATACTAAAATATGTCCTCAGTTACTTTATGGGGCTGAAATTTGGGGCATGGGTATATTTGAAGAGCTAGAACGAGTACAATATTATGCATGCAAACGCTTTATGTGTTGTAAACAAAATGCATCCAATGTAGCTGTATTAGGCGACTGCGGGAGGTATCCCATGTATTTTAATATCCATTAAGAGGTGTATTAACTATTGGTTAAAAATTATTAAAAATGCCAAACGATAGATTAGTTAAAAAGTGTTACTTAATGATGTTTAATGATGATATACAGGGACATGACAATTGGGTTACATCTTTAAGAAAAATTTTACAAAGTCATGGTTTTGGATATGTATGGGAAAGTCAATCTGTTACATCAGATAAATACTTTATAGCACAATTTGAAAATAGGTTAAAAGATATATACCTACAAGAGGGGCATTCATCTGTAACCTCTAATGTAAAATTGTCTTTTTTATGGTATGTTTAAGGAAAATTCTCATATGAATGTTATTTAGATGTTCTAGACATTAGAAAATTTAGATATATATACTCAAATTTTTAGAAATAGGGGTCACATGATCTTGAAATTGAGGTTGGTAGACATAAAAAGATATTGAGGGAAAACAGATTATGCACAAAATGTTCTAAGAATGTAATAGAAGATGAATTTCATTTTTTACTAATGTTGTGATTTTTATTCAGAACTTAGAAAATTATATTTACCGATTAAGTACCTAAATGCTCCAACCCGAAACAAATTTAATATATTAATGTCTACAAAAATAATGATCTTATAAAGGGTACAGCAACATTTTTGTATTACGCTTTTGAAAAAAGAAAGATTAACAAATTAATAATGACTTAGATACAAAATGATAATTAAGAAACTTCCAGAATTTTTTTTTTTATGCTTAAAAGTTATTTTCAGTTAAATTTATATAGTATATGTTTAAACATTGTGCACATGCTATAAATTTTATGTAAATTGTTTCTCTGTATATATGTTTTTGCATGGGCCGGAGGCCTTAAAGCGAATAAAGTATTTGTATTTGTATTTGTATAATTTGAACAAACTTGGTAGACACCTATTAGAACATGTTTGATGCTAAATATCTTAGCCATAGCTCTTTGAGTTCTTTAAAAGAAGATTTTTTAAGTTTTTACTATATGCATAAAGGGAAAATCAATGACCCCCGGGGCGGGGCCAATTTTGACCCCAGGGCTTTTATTTGAACAAACTTGGTAGACACTTATTATAACATGTTTCATGCTAAATATCTTAGCTCTAACTCTTTTGGTTCTTTAAAAGAAGATTTTTTAAGTTTTTACTATATGCATATAGGGAAAATCAATGACCCCCCGGGGCGGGGCCAATTTTGACCCCAGGGCTTTTATTTAAACAAACTTTGTAGACACTCACTAAAAGATGTTTCATGCTTAATATCTTAACTCTAGCTATTTGGGTTTTTTCAAAGAAGATTTTTTAAGTTTTTGCTATACACATATAAGGAAAATCAATGACCCCTGGGGCGGTGCCAATTTTGACCCCAGGGCTTTTATTTTGAACAAACTTGGTAGACACCTATTAGAACATGTTTGATGCTAAATATCTTAGCCATAGCTCTTTGAGTTCTTTAAAAGAAGATTTTTTAAGAATTTACTATATGCATATAGGGAAAATCAATGACCCCCGGGGCGGGGCCAATTTTGACCCCAGGGCTTTTATTTGAACAAACTTGGTAGACACTTATTATAACATGTTTCATGCTAAATATCTTAGCTCTAACTCTTTTGGTTCTTTAAAGAAGATTTTTTAAGTTTTTACTATATGCATATAGGGAAAATCAATGACCCCCCGGGGCGGGGCCAATTTTGACCCCAGGCTTTTATTTGAACAAACTTGGTAGACACCCATTAGAACATGTTTCATGCTTAAATATCTTAGCTCTAGCTTTTTGGGTTCTTTAAAAGAAGATTTTTTAAGTTTTTACTATATGCATATAGGGAAAATCAATGACCCCCCGGGGCGGGGCCAATTTTGACCCCAGGGCTTTTATTTGAACAAACTTGGTAGACACTCACTAGAAGATGTTTCATGCCAAATATCTAAGCTCTAGCTCTTATGGTTTTTTAAAAGAAGATTTTTTAAGTTTTTTTTTCGGTTGCCATGGCAACCAGAGTTCTGCATGGAATTAAATTCTTTGAACAATTTTTAAAGGTGACTACCAAAGGAACATTCCTGTGAAGTTTGGATGAAATTGGCTCAGTGGTTTATGAGGAGATGTCATTTAAAGAAAAAGTTTACGGACGACGGACGGACGACGGACGGACGGACGCCGGACGAAAAGTGATTACAAAAGCTCACCCTGTCACTTTGTGACAGGTGAGCTAAAAACAAAACAAAAACAATCTTAACTTGCATTTACTTGTTACATATAGGTGTTTCCATATACGAGTACATGTACTGCTAAGACAAATGACCTCTAAAAACAAGGTTTGTGTATAGATTTTGTCATGAATACCAGAAAGATTTTGATATACCCTAGCACTAAGTAATTTATTCACATATTCAGATATAACCAGTTACTAAAATCTATTTTTTATTTTTATCTAATACAAGATGAATTAACAAAATTGGGACTTTTTAATTACATTCCAATTTCATTCTTGCTTCTTGTATTCTTACACTGTTAACTGGAGGTGATTTGTTGTAGTCAAAACTTGCAAAGGCTATCAAAAAAGCATCGGCAACAATCCAAATGTTTGTCCCTGCTCAAATAATCTAGTAATTAAACATTTTAAATTAGTTTAAGGTGCTAGGACCAGCTCTTTTTACATGTATATAAGTAAAAATAAACAAGTTTTATTTCATTCCTTTGAGGAAAATACTATAAATATGTAAGTAACAAAATTTGTTAATAAATCACTTTAAAAATTATCTATAAATTTAATCACAGAAAAATCACAACCTAGACTAGAATATGAAGCCTTGTACGTATGTTCGTATTTCCATTATTTGGTTTCACAGTATTGTTTCTTGCCCTTATTTTTCCATTCAAATTTCCAAAGCCCATGAAATTGGTGTTCAGTCACAAACACTGTACTGGTACCTGGTTTAAAATGAACATTACTAGGATTACGGAATGGGCATTTGATTCTGGTAACAGGGTCTCCCCCACCTGGGGAAAACACTTCAAGATGGCTGCCACCCCAATTAGCTACAATAAGATTGTTGTGTTCATCAAAGTCCATACCATCTGGTCCTCCTTCATGATCCCCTACAAACAAAAGTCATAACATAAATTACAACCATATGCTATCATTAGCAGAAATTGCGAAGCGGTTTTTAATATCAATATTTATATAGTATTTCACAACCCAACATGTCCTTGTGTCCAGATATAAATTAAACCTGTGTTTTAAATACAAAATTCTATCAAATTTAAATCAATTTTCACATTAACTTTGACTTTAAAAGACCTTTTAAAGGTCAAGGCCATATTGGAATCACTGCACATGATAGTTTTATCATTAATTAGTCTTGTTTTGTCCAGTATGAATCAAATCTGTCAAATAATAAAGTTTTGGTAAATCTTTATGGTAATTTCCTCACTTGACAATTTTGTTAAAGGTGTTGTTAATCTAAGTATGAATCAAATCATTTCATGAATTGAAGTTATGGCAGTTTTTAGCAAATATTCAATGATTTGACTTTTAAGGTCAAGGTCATTTTAAAGTCAAGTTTGAGTAATACTTGAATCCTTCAACGTGTCATAAGTCTTACTTTTTTAGAAGTAGTAATCAAATCAGTCTACTGGTCAGAGAGATAACTCCGACGCATAGATAACCCCGACACTTGATCAATATAATTGTTAAAATTTTGTTTTTCAACCAACAAGCATATGGTCACCTAGTAGTATAGGAGCAGTGACAGAATGTGATGATTTTTTTTTAAGTTGGTAAACTTTTTAATATATTTCAAATAACCTAAAACTTTTTGTCGGCAAATACTGCTTCAAAACGTTCTTTTTACACAATTACAATAAGGTGGTTAGCATTGTATTGACCACAGGCCACTGACTTGGGAAAGAGTTTTGAAAAATTGTTTTTATATCAAATAAAAAATAGATAAAACATTAAGATGTAAAAATAAATTATTGATGCTGATTTTCCTGTCATTTTTACTAAAAAATTTAAGTGTAGACTTTATCTACTGTTGTGGGGGTAAAAAGACCATGTTTTGTATACCTCTTTCAGGACCTTTTTAGAAGTACCAGTTTCCATTTTCATACATAATTTTGTAGTGTAACGTAAAGTCTTTGAACTGAGCTTTTGTTTTGTGGTGGTTCATTATTTCAAATATACAGAAAGATAATTGAGATAGCTGCAAAAAATTTGCGTTTTGTGTAGGAAGTTATCTCCCCAACCAGTATATCAAATAAAGTAATTGCCTTTCCATAACCAAAATTAAATAATTTGACCTTGGCAGTCAACTTAACTGTTATATACAAAGCAAATACACTATACTCCCGTTCCCCCTCTACAACCCAAAACCCTTAAACATCATCCAAACATCATAAGTATTAACTAGAATAAATTTTATGAAAAATTTTTTTTTTATGACTATAACAAAAAATTTTGATTATAAAGGTATTTTACTCTACTTTCATTTTGCATAGAAATATCACTAGCATCTCAATTATCAGCACATATATTCATCAATTTTTCACTAATCTTAACAATCTTGGTGTCAAATAAATAAATACTCTTTAAGAAAACAACACTGGCACCTTTGCTGATTATACGTAGCAAGTAATATTCAAGCCCAAACTGTCAACAAATGAAACTTGGAAGAGATCTGATTGCACTGTTTCGGTATAACTCTCACAAGTAAAACACACTAAATTCACAGTGAATGAATATTTCTTTGTATTGCGTATTTAAATATGATAAAATTAAATTATTATTTGTAATAATTGTTCAATCAAAGCATCATATGAAACTATAACGCACCTTTTTTCCTATATGCCAAATTCTCAATCCAAAATGAAAGTAAAATGGTGCAGCAGATTGTTTTCAAATGGAGTATTTTCATTGGTCACATGAAAACCTTGAACCAATGAAAATATTTAAAGGGAAACAAAGTCAAGGTCATACAAAGGTGATAGTCAAATTAAATTATACCTGCTTCAAAGTTTTTTTCCAAAGGGTTCTTATCTCCATCCATTAATTACAAAAGTACAGCTAAATTTTGCAAATTTCAAAGATTTGACCCTAAAGGTGAAGTCATTCAAATTCATTACTATATGCATACATAGACCTTACATATTACTCCAGTCTACTTTTATTACAATTGGTTGAGCAGTTTTGGAGAAGAAGCACACACAAAATTGTCTTTATCTTGAATAAAAGACAACATACCTGGAAGTTTTCCCCAAACTGATCTCTCGCCAACTTCCCCAGCACCTTTAATATCATATTGCCACAGTAACTTGGTAGGTGTCTCGGCAACAATTAATTTACTGGGCCTACCATCATCTGTATGTAGGACAGCTATTCCATTAGGAAACCTTAAATTACCATCTATTCTCACAAGCTTCTTATCTTTGGTAAGACAATACACAGAACCAAAACCTTCCTGAAAGTATCAACAAATGACATCTTCAAGTTTTTTCCTAGCTTTAGAATGATCAGTGTTTTATGGAGGTTCTACAAAGGTGAATTCCCTTCCCTAAAAAAATGTACAGAAGGGCATTAGAGGTCTTACCCCATCAGTAGAGCTGGAAAGTTTACATATAACCTCTATGCTGTTGGTGATGACACAATATAATATTATGATAATTATATTTAGAAATCGATACAATTTGAAACCCTTTTCTCCCTCTCTTATGAAAATAACTCTATTTTGTCTGAATGGAGAAGTCACTTTTCCTCCTTTTTCATGGTAAGGTTGAATACTCATTGAGAAAAAATAACAAAAAAATTATTAATATCGTAATTTGTTATATTTTGGCGATTGTTGAAAATCAATGATAAATCAATAGCTCTATATGATTGTAAGTTAATGAAATTACCTCAAAAGATCGTTTGTACTCTGCAGGTGCTATCTCTCCAGCTGGAGCCGTCACCCATAAATTACCATCATAATCAAATGCGCAGTCATTACAACCTTGCATTGTACGATTTGAACTGTCTTGTCTAAACATCTGAAAATACACACAAAATTGTTACATAATGTTCACTAGTAAAGATTTCATTTACCTGGTTTTGCATCTGACTTGGTACTTTTGTAGAACTTTTGTAGGTGGTTTAGGAGATGTTATTTAAAGAAATTGTGGATAAAATGCCATCACAAAAGCCCACCTCTGAGTACTGTTAACAGTTGAGCTAAAAAAAATGCTGTTCACCTTAAAGGATCTATGACATGTATTAAGATAATTTGAGTGTTCACCTATACTTTCCATAATCATTTTCAAAGAAAGGGAAAGCAAAATACACAAACCTGAGTTTTTAAACTTTGTAATAGATTGTCCCTGATCCTGACTAGACATTCATTTTCTATTATAGTACTCCATTGCTTTATTCTCTATCAAACTAAAGTCTGTTGCAAAGATGTTTGTTTTATTGCAGGCTAAAGAACACATTCTTACATATGGACTGGAGAACTGATATTCTTCAAATTATTCTAAGTACACTACTCTGGAGAAGATCAAATGAGAGGAGACCATAAGAGAATCCGGTGGAGATGACCATAAGGGAATCCAGTGCAGATGACTGTCATAGAATCCAGTGGAGATAACAATAAGAAAATCCAAAGGAGATAACCATAAGAGAATCCAGTGGGGATTACCATAACAGAATCCAGTGAAGATGACCATAAGCGAATCCAGTAGAGATAACCAAAAGGAAATCAAGTGGAGATGACCATAAAGAAATCAAGTGAAGATGACCATAAGAGAATCCAGTGGAGATGACCATAAGGGAATTCAGTGGAGATGACCATAAGGAAATCCAGTGGAGATAACTGTAAGAGAATCTAGTGGAGATGACCATAAGAGAATCCAGTGGAGATGACCATAAAGGAATCCAGTAGAGATAACCAAAAGAAAATCAAGTGGAGATGACCATAAAGGAATCAAGTGGAGATGACCATAAGGGAATCCAGTGGAGATAACTGTAAGAGAATCCAGTGGAGATGACCATAAGGGAATCCAGTAGAGATAACCAAAAGGAAATCAAGTGGAGATAACCATAAGGTAATCAAGTGAAGATGACCATAAGGAAATCCACTGGATATGACCATAAGGGAATCCAGTGGAGATTATCATAATGGAATCAAGAGGATAAGATCATAATAAATCAAGTGGTGATGACCATAAGGAAATCTAGTGGAGATGACCATAAGGAAATCCAGTGGAGATGACCATAAGGAAATCCAGTGGAGATAACCATAAGAGAATCCAGTGGAGATGACCATAGGAAAGTGGAGAAAAACCATAATGTAATCCAGTGGATATAACCATAAAGAAATCCAGTGGAGATGACCATAATGGAATCCATTGGATATAATCATAAGGAAATAAAGTGGATATGACCATGAAGGGAATCCAGTGGTGATGACCATAGAAAATCCATTGGAGATGACCATAAGAGATTCCAGTGGAGATGATTATAAGGGAATCCAGTGAAGATGACCATAACGGAATCCAGTGGAGATGATTGTAATGGAATCAAGAGGAGATGACTGTTATGGAATCCAGTGCAGATGATCATAAGGGAATCCAGTGGAGATGACCATAAGGGAATAAAGTGGAGATGACCATAAGGGAATCCAGTGGATATGATCATAAGGAAATCCAGTGGACATAACCATAAGGGAATCCAGTGAAGATGACCATAATGGAAGCCATTGGAGATGATTGTAATGAAATCCAGAGATGACCATTAATGAATCCAGTGGAGATGATCATAAGGGAATCCAGTGGATATGATCATAATCGATTAAGTGGAGAAGACCATTAGGGAATCCAGGGGAAATGACCGTAATGGAATCCAGTGGGGATGACCATTAGAGAATCCAGTGGAGATGACCAAAAGAGAATCCAGTGGAGATTATCATAAGAGAATCCAGTGGCAACAATAAATAAACTGTGAAAAGACTTATCACTAATTATTTATAGAAATCTCAATAGACTATAAAGTCACCTGCTGGTATTTTCCTGATGTTTCCATCTTGAGAATGCCAAGTCTCATATCAGCAATCCAGATGTTGTTATCAAGGTCACACTGACATCCAGCAGGTATACCACCATTGTCTCCATCCTTTGGCGAGCATACAACATCTACCTGTAACAAAAATCCAGATAGTATTTTTTTCAACATAATTTAGAGTACAGTCATTATATTAATACATGTACAGCTTTGCATTGAATGTTGTGAACTGCCTTCTCTAAACATCTGGAAATATATAGGATTCCGATTGTTACATCAATTTTGCAAATCATTCAATTTATTATTACAGTAAATATTTCATGATACCAATAAATTTATTTGAAGAAATAAGTTTTTAAGGTTATTTACTTGCTTATACTCATATTAAATACTCAGTGGTTACAGTAAATGATGGTCTTTCAAATGTCAATTAACAAGTACCAGTTCACCCCTACTGAAACAAAATACTGGCAATTAAACTAAGAAAGAGTTGCTTTAATGTTAATTGTGGTGATATAATCATTTTGCCCAAATTACTATTGTCCCATAATGACTCCTCCCACTTTAGAGGTGATTTTTCCCACTTATGTCATGATTCACCCCACACAAACACAAGTTGAAAATTGCAAATATTTACTAAGTTAAGAGCAATAACTCTATAAATACTGAATTTTCTACCAAGTCAAGGGCAATAATTCTTCAAATAATGAATAAATCCACATGAAAAACCCCAAGTGCACAACTTCATATGCTGATAAACATTTCCGTTTAGTTTCATGTCTCTAGATCAAATACTTTTTGGGCTACGCACGACAAAATTTGAAAATTGCAAATTGTAACAAAGTAAAGGACAAATAATGAATAATTCCAAACACTAAACATCAGGTGCACAACTTACCAGTTCACAAGCTGATCAACTTTTCTGTAAAGTTCTAGGTCAAATACTTTCAAAAGTAAAACTAACAATTTTCTTTTCTGAAAAAAGGGTTTTTTCACATAAATAGCAAAACATAGCTTTTATTAAATCTTTAGTTACTGTTAATGATTTCAAGTACGTTTCAAATGATTTTGAAAAAGTGGGTTGAATCATTTTGGGGCGAATCGTTATCACCGGCATCACATGATCTCTACCTTTCCGCTTTCTAAATTTATTTTCAAGACATCTCCAGCTGGTTTTTTATCTTCATCTTCCCTTTCTGGTGCAACCATAAAAAACTCTCCATGTCTGTCAAACACAGGTCCTTCAGCACCTGGCAGATTATCTACAATTTTGACAAAGTTGGGCTCGATTACTTCCGCGTTTGACATGTTTACAAGTCTCAAAGTAGTCGTACTAATGTCGTAATTTAACACGAGATTCTTTAATTAAGGTTTTAAAAAAATTTCATGTATTTCAAATCAATCATATAGTTAGCTTGACATTGAAACATTGGTAAATTTTCTTATACTTATGAAATATTGCATCCCAGACATATTAACGACAAGCCGAAAAACAACTGTCGTATTTAGCCGAAGATGGCGGCTGCTATGGTCCGCCAGCACAGCGGACAGAGATTTCGCAGTGGAAGATTCAGAGGTAACGGCAACAGGTTCATTAATCATACATGTATTTACAATAAGAAATATTCTATTTCTCAAAATATTCGATATATGTTTATTTTTTTCAGGGAGACATGGCAGTGGAGAAGAAAATGTACAACTAGATTTTGCCAAAGGTGAGACTGACTTTCTATTTCCTTGTTGAAATTTTCTATATATGTAACACAATGATGATAACGGTCAAATAAATAATAATATGAAATTAGGCAAACCCTATGAACGGGGAAGTCCAATGTGTACACCGGTCTTACTGACCGGTGTGTATACGATGCGGGGAAGTCGTTAAAAATTCCTTTCATTTTTTCTGTTTTAAAGGTGTCATTCGGTATTTCATGCATCGCTTAAAAATTCCTTTCATTTTTTCTGTTTTAAAGGTTTCATTCGGTATTTCATGCATCGCTTCCGTTTTCACCCGGAACCCTCGACATTTGTTATTTATCTGAAAAGTTGAGATTTGTTCCGTTATGGGAATACACCGTCTTTTATCATCGAGTTACATTGTAAATGGTGGCGCCTAACTAGAACTGACACAGAAAATTTAATTGATAAGTATTAAATTCTATTTAATTTTTAATTGGCTTTTATTTGATTTTCTTTTAAATATACGCATGTAGTCTAAAGCCGGGCAAGACAAAGACTTTGACTTCCCCGTATGAAAGTAGGCAGAGCCTATGAACGGGGAAGTCAGATTTTAAACAAACTTTTGTTAATTAATTATTTTTCGTTTTTAAGGTGTCATTCGGTATTTCATGCACTGCATCCAATTTCAATCAGAATTCCTCGACGATTATTCTTTAGTTCTGTTATCAAAATACCCAGCCAATTATCATTGATTTACATTAAAAATGGCGCGCCCAGCCAGAAATGACAATGAACATTTCACTAATATAGAAATAGATATATATCCTTGACTGATCTAAAATCCCGGTGTATATTAAATCGCGGATTTTGTTTACACTTGGATAATCTCGTCGCACCTGCTCAACAGTGACATAATATTTCTCGCAAAAGGTTTCTACATCTGTATCTTGTATCAAACCATCACAAATCACATAAAAATGGGCAGTTTATTGTTTATTTTCCAATTACCTGAATAAGTATGAAAAAAACATGATTTTATTTATGCCCAAACTGACATTAACTTGAATAAGACCAATTGTAAGCATACAGTATGTGTATAATTTGTTTTATATTTTTATTCCATATTATTTCTCACAAATGTGCCAAATACCCTGAATATACACCAGTTGATGGTATTTTAATTGCTTATTATTTAATTTCCTATATATATATACACATGTAGTCTATAGCAGGACAAGTCAAAGACTTCAATTTATTAAATTTCAAATGGAAAGAAAATTATCTAAAACAATATATCTTCATTTTCTTTAAAAAACAGAACTATGTAAAATGTCAATAAAGATGAGCTTTCAAATGTCAGGATAACTGTATCTGTGTAGGATGCTTCTGGTCTCTGTTGGAAGCGCTTTGCCATTTAAGTCACTATTTGCCATGTAGTCTTGCTGCCCTACTTGATATTAGTCTGGTATTTATACAGGGAAGTTAATGACTGGTTTTGCAAAGCTGGCCCTGACTTTGGCTTGTCCCACAGTGTTTCAAGCTTAATGTTCAGAGAGGTGCAAAATTGGTTTTGGTGGCCTTGTTGGCATCATAACAGGGTTCTGATATAGAACACTTACCACAAGATTGGATTTTTGACAGATAAAGAGTCACCGTATTACCCAACTCATGTACCAGTACATGCAATGGAAATGCCTTGTTTTAGAAATAATATATCCCCAACAGAGATTTTATTTAACCTTTTCCCTTATATAAGCGTGTTTCGACGGCTTTTTGCCCCCCCCCCCCCCTTTTGAGGCCTCAAACAGTGAAAAAATGTCCTATTTAGACCCCAAACACTGTTTTTCGTTTGAGAAATGTTTTTAAAAAAAGTGACCATTTTTTCGGCGCCGTCCCCCATCCAAATTATACATCAGGGGGTTGCCAGAAGGGGGATGTGCCCCCTTCTGTTTGGGGGGTTTGAAGGGGGCGGAGTCCCCCTCATCGCCAAGAAAATTTTGGACTTGTGAGAGGCTTAAAATGTCCCCAGGTTGATCATAAGGTAACGTGTAACCAATGCTGAAAAGCCTTTGACTCTATCTCAATCCCTTGAGAAGTTGCAGCACTTTGAAATAAAATTTGATGGAAAAAATCGAGGCAAAAAAGAGATTTTTGGCAATTTTGAGATGTCCCCTCGTTGCCATGGTTACAGGAAATTTAAGACTGAGCATGTCGTTACAAAGGCAATGGTCCAGTCAACATTTGTGCCAAGTTTGATTAGTATTGAAGCATTTGTAATAGTTTCATAGCAGTTTGAACTTGTAAGAGGAGGCTTTTCAGTGAAAATGGCCATTTTTCACAATATGCTCATGGGGGAAAGGGTTAACACAGTAATTTTATCTCTAAATAAAATCACTGTTTGGAATTTGGGTGTTAGGAATATATCACAAGGGCGTAGCATGAAAGATATAACGCTAAGCATCCAAATGACAAACAGTCAGTTTTCAGTAACCACAACCTGTTTTGTTAATTAAATAAGTTCTCCAAATCAGTAGCTCAGTGAAACTTCTTTCACAAAAAGACTACACATGTATATCTGTAAGAAACTTCAAAAATGAAATAAATGTTTTTTTGTTTTATTTTTAGTTTGAAAATATTAAAATGTATATATCTGTCAAAAATTTTAAATGTCATTTGCTGTTTGTGGGTGCCACCATTTAACAAAAAAAAGTCTCAAACACAAAGTCAGCAATATTCTGTAATGTTTTTCTTCATTCTAGCAGTACAAGTAAGACAGGCATTTGCATTTTAATTATTTTCTGGAAAAACATGTTAAGGTGTAGAAGTTTGTAGCAAATGTTGTTATTTGTCTAAGATGTTACACAGGAACTACATCATCGTTTGATTGTAGTCTCTAGCTTACTCCTAGTACCATAGGTTTTGCCTAGTTGGTCAGGTGACTTAGGAAATATTATGGACCAAACCCGAATTCTATTACCCATAGGTCAATGGGCTTGTGACCACTAAATTTGCAGACCACTATATTTCATTTTGTAGTTTTAACATATATTCCTGATCATAGAGATTACACTAGATGTAAAAAAAATTTAATTCTAACTTTGTTTTATTTTCTATAAAAGGCCAGTTATAAGTTGTAATTCTTCCAAACACTTAATAGTTTGGGTAATGAATTATCTTTGCTGAAAAAAGTAATCTCCTTATATTTAATTAAGACGATTCATTTATTAGAAATACAAGTTGTTAATGAAAAGGAGCATTTCTTAACTCTCAATTATTTAAAACTCCTGTTATTTTCTTTTATTTAAAGGTAATGGTTAGCTGAATTGTTAAGCTTATGATTACAAACTTGCTTTTGTTTTACAGAGCCTGTAGAAAATGTGAAAGAAATTTTGACATATGTGATAAAAGAACATTCTTTTTCCAAAGCTAAGAAGCTTGGTTATCTGAATGTTTTTGTAAAACTTATCAATAAATGTGGAGGAACAGCAAACTTGGGATTCCCTCTGCGGAGCATCTTAATATGGTATGAATTTATGTGTATAAGTCTTGATATCAGAAATGTGAAAATTATCATTACAATTGATTTAAGATTAACAAATGCCAAATTTCTGTTTATGTCAAAGGTGTGGAAAAAGACACTTGGATTAACATGAAAATTTGCTCAATAAATGTATTAATTTTGCTTTTTGTGACCTAAAATTGTCTTGAAAAGAAAGAATATATCTTGTCTGGCTGTTAAATCTTTGGAGCATCATCTCATCATGAAATATCTTTAAAATCATACAAATCTTATAAAGTTTATTTTATTCCCCTTGTGCAATAATAATTTGTCATTTTTCTCCAAATTTAAAGAAAAGCCTCATCTCCTACCTGTAAGCCCTGGATGGAGTTAGATTTTTTTTCAGTATATGTCTAAAAATGCAATAGATTTCATAATTTGATGACCTCACATATTATTATTGATTTTCAACTATACATTTACAGTTTAAGTGTAAATCTGCTACATGCACCTAAGGAAGTTCGAGCTGGGACATTACGTGTTATCAAACATTTATTAACAGATGATGAATCTGTCCAGGTTCTACTGGACTTACATTTGGATTATTTTATTGCAAGGTAAAACATTTTACAGTCCGACCCCGGTTATTCGACAACCCTTTATTCGAATACCCGGCATTATCCGAAGTAGGTCGGCGGTCCCGTTTTTATCTCTATATAAATCAATATAAATACGAGCGTATTATTCGAAATGCATTATCCGAATACCTCCTATTTTTCGAAGTAAAATTTCGGTCCCGACTATACAATTATGAAAGAATTTCACACCTATTATTCGAAGCCAGCCTAATTATTATTCGAAGTCAGACTTAATGGCGCAGATCCGCTCGCTGGCTGGTCGACTTGTGAAAAACATCAATAGTCATGCATGTATTTAGACAATCGTGATAATAGCTCTTTTTGTGTTCTTTAATCAACTTTAATTACCGAAAATAAAAAGCAATGCACCGTGTCCGATTTTGTTACTGTTATTGCTTGAAGATGACAGCAATATTTTTCATACATACCGTATATGTAAATTTGTCAAAACATCCAAAACGCTACATAAGAGCCTTTTTCCTAATGGAAAATACCAGAGTTTAGCTGTAAATACCGTAGTGACAACACGGCCATTATCAAGGTTTTGCGTGAAACGAAGCGATACATAATGTAGAATAAAATGCAAGTATTTATGTCTTCAATGTCAATACAATAATTTTTACGCATCTTTTCTTTAATATTTATTTTTCTCAATTGATTACAGGAAGTAAATGTGTTTTAAACGGTAGTTTTACTACGATTCGTCAAAGTTGAGTAGTTTTCGTCTATCACAATATTCGGATTTCGATTATTCGAACCCATCGATTATTCGAAGTAAATATTCAGTCCCAGGCACTTCGAATAAACGGGGTTGGACTGTATACTATTTTTATGCTTGATTTTATAAATATTATTACTTTGTTACATTGGGTTTAAAGTCAAGTCAACACTGTTACAGTAATGTTGTAATTTTCCAACCCAACTGCTGAAAAAAGAACTCAATTGCTTAAAGTGTGCAACAGTGTCTTAGTAGTTAAGATTTATGGAAAAGGTAGAATTTTTAATCATAAACATAAGGGGGCATTTGAGTATAATATTTGATGAAAAACTCATCTTTTTCCCCCAATTTACCTAATTTGATGACTGTTGATATTCCTGATTGGATGGATTTTTCTTTACATGTGAAAAAATGATTTCTAGATTTTTGTATATATTCTTTCTCTGTTCTTTGTTTACAAATTAAAAAGAAGAAAAAATTATTTGAAATAAGGTATTGTCAACATTTTTCATTGCCTTTCATAGCTTTGATTTTCTACAATTAAGTACATGTATATTTAAAACCTTGCGGAATCCTTTTCATTGAGATTTTGAAAATATTTAATTTTCTTTTTTATGTTTATAAATCAGATCATTGGACCTGTGTCTTGACAATGAAATTGAAAGAATTCACGCCCAAAAGTTGGCTAGAAAATTTTCATCTGATCTTCCTTCCAAGATGCCAAGGTCATTGGTTCAACCTCTTGTTGCTATTGGTAATGATGGAGTCAATGAAAGGGACAGAATGGTTAGAGCATCACTAGCTTGTATTTGTGAATTAAGTATGTTTTCATTATTTACCCTTCTAATGTCATATATACATTTGTATGTTAGATTTAGTATAATATTTGAAATTATTTTAAGTGCATTAAAATCTAAACAAGAATGATAAATATTATGTTCTTATCTTAAGGAAAGTTAATTTGAAAACTTATTTTCCTTGACAGTGTTTGAGGAAACTCATTTAATGTTTGTCCATAATACTGCTTCTACTATCTCTAATTTTTTACATCAAAATTTTGGGAATTTCCTTTAAATGTGTGTAAATAATTAACTGTAAAATTTAAAAGCATGTTTTATGATATTACAGTTGGTAGTTACGATTTTAAATTGTTGAATGTCATGTTATGTATTTGTTTCAAAACACGGATATGATTAAAGTATTACAGAGAAATTAATTGAATATTGCAGAGAAATTGATAATTACTGGTTAGTTATCCAGGAAAGACAGTTAGGTGGACAGACCCACCAAGATACAATTAAAATGTGTTAAAATCTAGTGTAAAAACCAGACAAGCAATCTAACAAATTAAAGTACTTGTATTATTATTTTTCAGCATACCACAACCCAGACCTAGTTGCTCATTGTGGTGGTATAAGCATGTTGTTACGTAAGATTTTAGATTGTCATCAGTATCCACGTATCAATGAGTCTATTGTATCAACCATACTACATCTTGTTAATTTCCCATCTACCAGGCATTTTGTGAGATTTAATACAGACTTAGAGGTAGATTTTTTTATGTATTCGCCTCATCAGATTATTTGTGGTTTTAAATGCAGATTGTTTTAATAATATAAGTTCCTTATATTGAATTATTAGTACAGCTGCTTTTTTGTTAGATATCTGACAAGGACATAGAAAGTTTACATAAGAGATAACTATACAGTTAACTAACAAAAGGTTGATGGTTCTTTTTTGATCAGTAAAGTTTTGAAAATAACATATGGCTAACACAACCAAAACAAGCAGATAAATAGATTAAGTAAAGTAAAAATAGCAGCCTTACTGAAGTAGCTTATCTGGCTAAACTGTAGAAGATTGTTTATATTTTACTTAAAACTCCACAAGGATTTCCTATTAATTTACATTTCGGTGAAGTTGTTGAATGTTTGTAAATTTATTATGTTTAGAGATTTTATCACTTTATGCTTCAGTTATTTATTAACATATTTATGTGTTCTTCATTAACTTTCAGCAATTGATAGCTCCGTTTACAGATTGCCATTTTAGTTATTCAGGGGAATCACTTGAACAGACAAGGTGAGAGTCAAATATATACTAAATATGTATGTCAGTTTATGAGACTATATAAATCAATTTTCTTTAGGTTATTAATGGGGTGTCATGTTTATCTGTTTTTAGCTAAAAACCAGTTAGAAAATTCAATAACCAGTAACAGAGGTTAGTATTTGACTAAGGGGCTAAAAAGTTTAAAAATTGATTCTAATTATTACCTTAGTTTTTTATGACAAAATATAACAATTGTTTGTATTTTAGTTGTACACAACTATGTATTTTTTCCCATCTGATGGAATATTGTACAACCCTAGCGGAAAATAGTTACTCCATATCGGAATTGAATTGTATTTGAGAACAATAAAATATGATCAAAATGGCATATCTTGTCTTAAAAAAACAAAGTTAAAGTAGAAAATCTATGAAGAAATATGGTACATACCAGAGCTCAACACCATTTCCTCGCTTTAGAGGCAGACTCTTAAACCACTATGCCTGGTCTTTTCCTGGCATTGCCATTTCTTTTTACTGAGTCATGTAAACTATACAGGAGCTTTGAGTTTATATTACTGCTCAGATATTTTGTCTAAAACTAATCTGTTTAACATATAAATGGTACAGGTTACATATATTTCAGTGAGGACAGAGATGCCAGATTTACAGCAAGCAAGATGGCTGTCATTACTGTCATGAGATCATGGCCAGGTAAAATTTAGTTTTAGTGGAAACTGCATGTATGTTATCCAGCTAGCTTACAGAACATCAATGGTTCAACTCAGGTGCCCATTTGTGCCTGAAATAATGCATGGAAGGGCATCTGAGGTGTTCATCCACCAGTAAAGCTGGAACGTCGCCATATGACCTAAATTGTGTTGGTGTGACGTAAAATATGTTAGGTTGCTATATAGCTTATAGGCAAGAAGCCATGATACCTTTATTTTTAACAATATAATGTTAATTTGTATTACATATTTTTTGGAGAGAAACTGACTTTTACTGCTGCTGTTGTTTTTAGGATTTTAAGCATTTAAATGTGTAGAGTAACAGAAAATTAAATATGTAACTTAACATGATGGAGGTATATTTTATTTTTAGCTCACCTGTCACAGGGTGAGCTTTTGTGATCGCTTTTCGTCCGGCGTCCGGCCGTAAACTTTTACTTTAAATGACATCTCCTCATAAACCACTAAGCCAATTTCATCCAAACTTCACAGGAATGTTCCTTTGTTCAAAGAATTTAATTCCATGCAGAACTCTGGTTGCCATGGCAACCGAAAGAAAAAACTTTAAATATCTTCTTTGAAAAAACCATAAGAGCTAGAGCTTAGATATTTGGCATGAAACATCCTCTAGTGAGTGTCTACCAAGTTTGTTCAAATAAAAATCTTCTTTTAAAGAACCCAAAGAGCTAGAGCTAAGATATTTAGCATGAAACATGTTCTAATGGGTGTCTACCAAGTTTGTTCAAATAAAAGCCCTGGGGTCAAAATTGGCCCCGCCCCGGGGGGGGGGGTCATTGATTTTCCCTATATGCATATAGTAAAAACTTAAAAAGTCTTCTTTTAAAGAACTCAAAGAGCTATGGCTAAGATATGGAGCATCAAACATGTTCTAATAAGTGTCTACCAAGTTTGTTCAAATAAAAGCCCTGGGGTCAAAATTGGCCCCGCCCCAGGGGGTCATTGATTTTCCCTATATGCATATAGTAAAAACTTAAGAAATCTTCTTTTAAAGAACCAAAAGAGTTAGAGCTAAGATATTTAGCATGAAACATGTTCTAATAAGTGTCTACCAAGTTTGTTCAAATAAAAAGCCCTGGGTCAAAATTGGCCCCGCCCCAGGGGGTCATTGATTTTCCCTATATGCATATAGTAAAAACTTAAAAAATCTTCTTTTAAAGAACTCAAAGAGCTATGGCTAAGATATTTAGCATCAAACATGTTCTAATAGGTGTCTACCAAGTTTGTTCAAATAAAAGCCCTGGGGTCAAAATTGGCACCGCCCCGGGGGTCATTAATTTTCCTTTAATGTGTATAGCAAAAACTTAAAAAATCTTCCTTGAAAAAACCCAAATAGCTAGAGTTAAGATATTAAGCATGAAACATCTTTTAGCGAGTGTACAAAGTTTGTTCAAATAAAAGACCTGGGGTCAAAATTGGCCCAGCCCCTGGGGTCACTGATTTTCTTTATATGCGTATAGTAAAAACTTAAAATCTTCTTTGAAAAAAACCCAAATAGCTAGAGTTTAGATATTAAGCATGAAACATCTTCTAGTAAATGTCTACAAAGTTTGTTCAAATAAAAGCCCTGGTCCGGCCCCAGGGGTGTCATTGTTTTTAACTATATGTGTATAGTAAAAACTTTAAAAAAATCTTCTTTTAAAAAAGCCCAATGAGCTAGAGCTTAGATGTTTAGCATGAAACATCTTCTTATGGGTGTCTACCAAGTTTGTGCAAATAAAAGCCCTTGGGTTAAATTGGCCCTGCAACGTTGGGGGGGGGGGGGGCCTATATACAGGTGAGCGACCTCAGGGCCATCATGGCCCTCTTGTTATTTGAGGGTATTGTTGTTATATATAATATGGAATATTTAAGGAACTATTATATACTATATTACATTTTGTATATACATTATTCAGGAATCATACGTTTCTGTCGGCCAGATGGTACAGGGTTACAGTCACTTGTTGGAATCCTCTATCTTCCATTTACAGATATTCGAGTAAGTAAACTTTAATTCTTTATGTCTAATTATCTTAGATGTAAGAATAATGTTTTATTTATTGCCTACATGAAATACCAATGGGTTCTTGTATATTTAAGCTATTTTTCTACTGCGTTTGATAAGTACTGATTATCCAGTTCTTATATTCCTTTTGCAAATGGTTAGTGAAAATTTTTGAAACTGTAAAGTAGGTAGTACACCTTTTCACTAAATTCAGAGTAGTATTTTTCCAATAAGAACTACCCAATTCATTTTGTTTCCAAAGAAAATACATGACAAATAGAATAAATAATTGTAGGTATTATGATAATAACTAAAAACAATTTTGTTATTAGTCAAATTTATGAATTTGAAATAATAATTTATTTTGTTATTTCTCAAATTTATGAATATGAACGAAAAATAAACGTTTGTACAAAAGTGATAAGAGTACATGTAGGTAGTCTGAATTGTTATTAATTATTGTTATATATTTTTTTTGCTACAGCAAGGGATAGTTGAGTTGATATATGAGCTGTTCCATATCTCACTGCCTAAATGGACAACTAACTTCAATGAGGCCCTTATTAGTATTGGTAAGTTTGCATTTATAATACAATATATCTGTATGATAAATCTGTGTCAGCTTTAAATAATAATAGGGGGAAAATCTTTCTGACATATTTTACAGAGGTTGTTTTGTTTATATTTCTTAAATATATCTCGATTTGGAGTGCATTGTGGTATTATATAGCACAATATTTTTTTAAGATTCACAATCGTATAATCATGAAGGTCAAAAGTACATGTAATTGTGATGAAAGGCATTGTAAAAAATGTTGGACTATAGGCTATTCCAATCTGCTGAAAAGATTGTTGATACATTAACCATATGAGCATATATTTTGAGAAAGAAAAAAAAAACATTTTGTTTTATTTGAATTCTATAAAAGAAATTTATATAATCAGTTCAATAAAAACAAACGCTTTTCTTAAGCTTTCGACGTTTAGTCTTCTTCAGAAAACATTGACGTTTATAAAATGACAAATGACGCAACGTCCGTTTAACTATACGCTAAACAGAACGTGACGTTAACGCGGGAATAAAAACTTTGTCCAATAAAATGAATATAAATACAGCAATATACAATAAATTACACATATAATATGGATCTGCACATGTGATACAAAAATTCTCATAATTAATAATAATAAAAAACCTTGATATGAGAAAAAACATACTACATGTATATGTATACCGGCTCAATAATGACAAAGTTATATATTGTACAAAACTTTTGCATTCATACCATTAGGAGATAATGTGTTAAGCTTATGAATCCAGTATGATTCTTGTAATAAGCGTTCCATATCATCGGTGACAATCTCTATAGGCATAAATTTAAAATCCTTAATACAATGATTGGTTTTATTAAAGTGTGTAGCGACATTGGTCGAAAATAATGGATCGGAAAAATTGTTGATATCAAAACCTATGGCTATTCATGCGTTTAGACACTTGTTGCTTCGTTTGACCAACATATTGCTCTTTACATTTATCACAAGTGACAAGATATATAACATTTTTCGTAGAACAATCAGTATTGTTATTTACATGATAATTCTTACCAGGAATATTAGTACTACTAAATATATTGCTTTCAATAATGGAGCTGCAATGTGTACATCTACTTCTATTACATCAGGGCTCATCCTGGTGGGAAATTTTAGGGAGAAGTGACAACCTCGCCAAAATTAGGGAGAAGGGAAACAACCCAATGTGTATGCATTAACATGCATGGCTATACATCCTTTAATTATAATATAAACACAATTAACATCACTTATAATATTTCTCAAGTTTATTAATTAATAGTAGTATTAATTAAAAGTAGATTAATTATTTAGGAGTAGATCAGGCAATGGCATCTAAATGTTTTTGAGCTGCAAATATGAATATAAAAAATTATTTTTGATATCTATTGATCAGCTATTTATAAGCTTTCTCTAAATATGTGTTATTAATGTGTAAGAAAAGATATGATGTTAAAATCAATTTCATATTTTTTACTTTACTTTCCTCACCTTTAAAAGAAGATGAAGTCACATTGGATATTGAATAATAATATCTCTTCTGGTAAAAGAAATTTCTCTCAAAGTCCTGAATGTTGTAATGTCACATTTATATGCATATAATTATGCTTATAAAACAATTTTCAAACATCAAAGAATATGTAAAATATGTACTGCAAACATTTGTGCACATTATATTTGATCACTAAAATTACATACATTCATTTCTTATTGAAAAATTTGACTGAAAAAGTGTAGAAAATTAATTTCTAATTACCTCCCTTTATTTTCATGAAATGTTAAATTCGGTAATATCTTTATAATATAAATAATGCTTTTTAAAATTTACAATATTAATAAATCTTATTCTGAGCGTCATATTTACGACTTTATTTTGAAACAATAAGAACACTTCTCTCCAGACAAATGTTGTTGTTATATACACGTTACATGATATACGACCGATATGTAGTTAAGCCGGGATTTCTTGCCCACATGCGTAAACTGTGTCAAATTTGGCATTTCTACAAAGAGAACAATGCCAAACACCCCAACTGTCTACAACATACCAATCGCAAGATTTTTGCGAATTGGCTTTCTTAAATTTTCGCGTAGGTGTAACTATCAGAATCAGTAACTTTCTTACTGCTCGGTTTCGGCATTTCGCCTTGTAGCCATGACGTGAGTTGCATAACAATTTTACAGTAAAAATTGATGTTAACAGACTGAAATCATTCAAAACTATGATTAAGTTTTTAATCTGGTCGCTGATCATTAATGAAATTGATTGTTTTTAATTGACTAACAGTTTTGTGATAGCCGTGAAAAATCCATTGCACATCGCCTTTACTCGGGTTAAAAACCCACCATCGAAGTGCATCGTGTATATCAATTAGGGAAGATTGCATGTGTTTAGATAATTGGGGAAAAACAATTTATAATTATCGCCAAATCCCGTATTAAACTCGCAAAACTATCGCACAATTATACCGTTTCGGGCCGATGCTCTCATTATTTACTGTTTAGAGTAGGCGGTCTATTGCTTCGCTTACAGGTAGAAGGGTAGTATAAAGCGACGCTCTGATTGGATAATGATAATTAGCGGTCGTCATATGGGCGGATACAATCTCTGCTCTTTACATTGCTAAGTAATTACTATTTGGGAATTAAGATTTTATCGGCGATGTTGACTTCTCTTTGATCAATCGGAAGAGCGAAATTGGAATATAAACGGCGAAGTTTTCGCCTGAATCGCCCTTCCGGATGAGCCCTGTTACATTTGGATGGACTTTTCGCATTTTTGTTATTCGACCTAATATTAGAGAATTTTTTTTTTTTTTTTTTTTTTTTTTTATTTCCCTCGTCATGGGTATGTGGGAGTCGATGGCATCCCCCTCCATACCTTACAAAGATTTTATTTATCATATTATATATACACATGTATCAAATATTTGTTGATTTAGTAACAATTATTGATTATTGTCATTGAGTATTAATCACAACTTCACATTTCCACAATAATATATACAAATGTACATACACAAAATAATATACAAACAAAATCACAAGGGAAATAAAAGAAGAGAAAAAAAGGAAAGGTAGCTCATAGATTGAACAGAGAAAACATTATGTTGTTGTTTCTTATACTCAAACTTTTAACAAAAAGCAATGGCTGTATATTAATAAATTATAAATTTACATTACTCTATAAAGAATTAAATGATTTTTAGCTCGACTTTTCTATGAAAAGGGGAGCTATCCTACTCGCCCCGGCGTCGGCGTTGGCGTCGGCGTTGGCGTCACACCTTGGTTAAGTTTTTCGTACCACCCCACTTTATTTCAGAAGTATTACAAGTATGGCTTTGAAACTTACCATACTTGTTCACCATCATAACCTCCATCTACAGACAAGAGTACATAACTCTGTCAAGGTTTTTGACAGAATTATGGCCCTTTTTTGCACTTAGAAAGTGTATTGAGCTTGGTTAAGTTTTTTGTACCACCTCACTTTATTTCAAAAACCATTGGAGGTATTGCTTTGAAACTGACCATACTTGTTTACCATCACGACCTTCATCAACAGACAAGAGGACATAACTCTGTCAAGGTTTTTGACAGAATTATGCCCTTTTTGACTTAGAAAATACATTGAATATGGGTAAAATCCACTTATTGCCTTAACCCTTTGAGATATTGCTTTGAAACTTTAAATGCTATTTCACATCATTACCCCCATCTGTACGCAAGAGAAGGTAACTCTGTCAAGGATTTGTTTTAAAAATTAAGGCCTTTTATCGACTTAGAATCTTGGTTAAGTTTTTAGTACCAGTCCACTTTTTGACTGAACTGTTTGAGATATTAATTTGAAAGTTGGAATACTTGTTTACAATCATGATTCCCAAACATGTCCAGGAGAAGGTAATTCTGTCAAAGATTTTATTTGAATTATGGCCCTTAACTGTCAATGTTTTGTATTATAGGCAAGCACTAAAAAAGTCGAGCGCGCTGTCTTACGGACAGCTCTTGTTTGAACAATTGTCCAATTCATTATGTTATCTTTTGTATTTGTTGCACATGCATCAATAATTGAAGAGGCTAATTTAAAACTTCTAATTAATCCATCTATATTTGGTAAAATATTTTTTCTCCTACATAAATAAACATATTTCTTTATCTCTAGACATAGGATATTGTACTTTGACTGGCTCTTTTTTGTATAACCTAATATAAAAGTTTTACAATCAATATCAAATAAAGCATCATGATTCCTAACAATTTTAATAATTTCTGTAATCAATATTTTGACAAATGAGCATTCCCAAAATAGGTGTAACAATGTTTCATGTTCTGATTTACAAAAAGTACACATACTTGTAACAGATAAATTCATTTTCAAAAGAAGATAATTAGTAGCTAATATTCTATGTGTTAGTCTTGTCTGAAACCATTGCAAGTAAGAATCATTGGTAATGTCAAAAACCCAACTATGTATTTTATTCCAGTCAGATTGACTTAATTGAAAGCAAGTGTTCCATTTAGTCTGACAAGTTGGAATATCATCATTTTTTATGTATATATTGTACATGTCTGATGTACCTTTAACACAAAGTAGTATAGGCTTTAAATAACAACATATAATGGGAGAATAGGAACCTAATATTAGAATTAACGAGAATGTCTTTTAGATTTTTAGGTCTTTTAAATGCAACCAAAGGTTTACTTTCATAAAGCTTTTGCACAGAACATTTACCTGAAAGTTTTAGTAAATCCTAATACTTTTTAATTATATTACTAATATTAGGTAAAGTTGGGTTATACTCAACAATAAAGGGAATAACACTGCCATCACTTGTTTTGTTGTTAGTACACAGAGATGGATGAAAGTTATTCAAACTATCAATGAAAGCATTCAAATCATCAAGGGTATAACTCCATATACAAAATATATCATCAAGAAAACGGAACCATAAACTAGGTTTTAAAGAAGGTTGGCTTAAAAAGTCATTTTCAAATTTACCCATAAAAAGCGAAGCGTAAGAGGGTGCCATAGAACTTCCCATTGCTGTTCCCAATTTTTGTATATAATGATCACCGTTGAATTGAAAGTTATTATTTTCAAGGACTAAGGAAAGAAGTTTACATATTTCATTACATGAAAGTTTTTTAAAAGAAATTGACATATGGGATCTTTGGACAAGGCATGCACATTGTAGCGTAGATGCATATTGTACATGGAGAGAATGATAGAGGCAAGTGCATTGTTGTGAAATAATGCAGTCTTCCGGTTTCCTTTTGTAAATGAAAATGAGAAACATTTCCATTGTTGTAAAATAATGTAGATGTTTGTTACTGAAATCTCCAAATAGTGTTAGAATTTTCCTTTCATGATAATTTCATTCTTGATTTGCTCTATCTATATTTTTCAGATCCGTCCACTATGATAGAAAATTGGCATCTCACTGAAGGTTTTTTGTTGCTAACGAGGGCAAAAACTATTTTTCCACATACTTCTACTGTTAGGTAAGTTATAACCATACATATCTAGACTCATCATCATGTTTCAGATTTATGTCACCCTCTTACTTGAATAAACTCTTTTATCCATTTAACAACAAAAAAATAAAATAAATTGAAACTTTTTGGCGACATAATAAAAATGATTATGATGACTTTATTTTATTTTCATCTTTATATAGGCTGCATATTTTGAATCATTTGTTAGAAATGTTCTTATAATTGGAATTACAACAATTTTGAATGCTTAGTAGTGGAATCTGTGGGTTGTTTTACAAGAACTTGTTTATGTATATGTATTGGAATATTTTCAATATTCATGAAATTAAAATTTGAAAATTTCAGGCCTAATTTAGTAGAAAATCATCTAGCTTTGCTGTTGTCAGCATGGATAGGTGCTGGTATATTAGATGTAAGTACCAGTATTCTCCTCTTACTACCTTCTTTATAAAGTCTTATCTTATAGACAGTTAAAGTTACAATTAAGTATATTTTAAAGTATCTTTGACATAATTTGCAAAAAAAATATATGTCAACAAAAATCATATTTCTTTTAATTATTAAAATTGATGGCAAAAGCTTTGGCATTTCCAAAATATAAATCAATAATTAGCATCCTGATTTGTAGACAGTTCCAAAAAGATAGAGCCTGACAAATCTTTAAAAAAAAATACAGTTTCAAACCTTTGTCAACTTTTGTTATTTACAGGCATTAGTTGAAGTTATCATAACATCAGAGGATGAACTGTTTATTCGAGCTGTGATACTTTTAGCTGAACTTTTACATTTGGTAAGTTGACAATGTATAGGTCATGTAACAACAATGTAGTGTATAATTTTTATTAAAATTTTCATAAACCCATCATTAAATCATATCTAATTCTTCATAGTTAGACTAAACTATGATTTTTGGCCGGGTTGCACTGGTGCAAATCCGGGTTATAGTATGGTGAATGTCAGGCGGCGGGCGGGCAGGCGGGCGGGGAAAATATTTTCATAACAGTTTTCTCAGCAACTAATTATCACAGCCTCTTGATATTTGGCATACAGCATTGACACATGGTCCCATACCGTGGGATTTGATTTCAGGTCTGTCGCTCATCCACTTTCCTGGTTTATCCACTTAGTTAAATTAGTTAAATTTTTCGACATTAATGGTCAATGGTAGGAAAATTAATTTTCGTAACAGTTTTCTCAGCAACTACTTTTCACAGCCTCTTGATATTTGGCATACAGCATTGACACATGGTCCCATACCGTGGGATTTGATTTCAGGTCTGTCGCTCATCCACTTCCTGTTTATCCACTTAGTTTAATTAGTTAAATTTTTTGACATTAATGGTCAATGGTAGGAAATTTTCGTAACAGTTTTCTTAGCAACTACTTATCACAGCCTCTTGATATTTGGCATACAGCATTGACACATGGTCCCATACCGTGGGATTTGATTTTAGGTGTGTAGCTCATCCACTTCCTGTTAACCCACTTAATTAAATTTTCGACATTAATGGGTAAATGGTACATTTGGCGTACAAATGCAACCCGGCCTTTTCTGTCTTTGACCCATTTTTGGAAATAGTTTTGATTTTTACTCATTTCTGCTTTAGATTTATAACTTTCCATTAATAGTAGAGTATTTCATAATAAAGTCATAAAATTGACCATCTTGTGATAAATATTCTGGTTTGCATAAATGTACAGATATCTGTACAGACTGGTTCTAGCTTGCTGTCATAGACCTGTATTTATAGTGATATTTTGTTATTTCAGGCCAAACAGTTGTTACCACCAGAATGTAGTCATCACAGTCATTACCTCCCCTCACTGATGGCACTCGCCTCATCATTTGATATCTCAGACAGTCAAAGACAGTATGTTATATTTATCTTTATATGGACATTTAATGTTTTAACCCTGAATATGCACAATTTATGTAATGGAATTGCCCAGTATTGAATTTGGAACAGTCTGCTCTAAGTTTAAAAATTTTCAATATCAAAACACAAATATTGAGCTACTAGCAGTATAGAGATTGGTCAGACTGCATAGATTTGCAGGCTGGCTGTGGCTCTATACTGCGTTGTTAACATTTTATTTGTATACTTCAGAAATGTTATTTCTGCATTTATAATTTTATTAGAATGCATTTGAATTTGGGAATAGTCTATTCAAAGGAAAAATTGAGCTAGCATCCAATGTAGAGCCTTGTCAGACTTCATAACTGTGCAGGCTGGCCTGGCTCTATACTGGGTGGCAAAGGGGGTAAAGGTTAACATTACATTTAACCTGTATACTTCAGAAATGTTCCTGTTGTTTCTAACATTTATTAAAAATACATAGTTGGTATATTATTATATTGTAGCAGCATGAAGTGACACTATTCAAATGATGAAAAACGTATATGAAAGAACTTTGTAAAAACTAATTCAAAGTATTATATTATGTAGAATACAGCGTTCAGTTATGCAGATTAAAGTTGTATTTTATAAGAATATAATTGCCTCTAAGGTACTTATTTTAGGAACTATATAGTCTGCCAATTCTAAAAACAGAACTTGCAGATGTTATTTAACTTGTATAGGTATTCTTATTTAACTATTCTTACTAATTATTTAAAATACACACATGATTTCTTGCCTTTTACAGCCAAGCCAGTTTAGCGGTGAATTACTTAGATAGAATCCATGTGTTAAAGAAGAGAGGACCTATACCATGTAGCTTGTATCTAGACCAGCTTGTGAAACAGTCGGAGAGCTACAAAGATAGACCCCAGTCTCTGATCATGCAGAAAGATAAACTACTAGACATGCATATTAGAAAGGTTAGTTTCTTAACCCTTAATTAGCTCACCTGAGCATGCTCAGGGTGAGCTTTTAGGATCGATGATCGTCCGTCGTCCGTCGTCCGTTCACATTTAGTTGTTAACACTCTAGCGGTCACATTTTTGCCTCAATCATCATCAAACTTGGTCAGGATGCTTATCTAGTTGATAGCTCGGATGAGTTCGAAACATGGGTCATCTCGGATGAGAAAACTAGGTCACAAGAGCTAAAAATAGAAAAACCTTGTTAACACTCTAGAGGTCACACTTTTTTGCCTCAATCATCATCAAACTTGGTCAGGATGTTTGTCGTAGGTGATAGCTCGGATGATCGAACAGTCATCTCGGATGAAAAAGTATGAGTTAACACTCTAGCAGGTCACATTTTTGCTCATCAATCAAACTTGGTCAGTATGCTTTGTCTAAGTGATAGCATCGAACATGGGTCATCTCGGATGAAAAAGTAGGTCACGGGCTAAAAAAAAGAAAACCTTGTTAAACACTCTAGCGGCTCACATTTTTGGCATTCAATCATCATCAAAACTTGGTCAAGTGCTTGTCTAGGTGATAGCTCGGATGAGTGTCGAACATGGTCTCTCGGATGAAAAAGGTGGTCCACCGGAGCTAAAAATAGAAAAAAACCTTTTTAACACTCTAGCATCACATTTTTGCACAACTCATCAAACTTGGTCAGGATGGCTTTTATCTAGTTTATAGTGGATGAGTGTGAACATGGTCATTCGGCATTGAAAAAGAGCGTCCCGGAGCTAAAAAATAAGAAAAACCTTGGTTAACATCTAGTGGTCACATTTTTCACAATCATCATCAAACTTGATCAAGATCTTGTCTAGGTGATGTCGGATGAGTTGAACATGGGTCATCTTGGAGAAAACTAGGTCACAGGGAGCTAAAAATAGAAAAAAATTGTTAACACTCTAGTGGTCCAATTTTGACCAATTGTCATCAAACTTGGTAGGAAATTGTTCTAGGTCATTGCTGGGAAGAAATTAACATGGTCATCTCGGATAAAAGTAGGTCACCGGGCTAAAAATTTAGAAAAAGGCTTGTTAACACTCTAGTGGCTACTTTGGATCCAAATAGTTTTGTTAATTGGTCTGAAAGTTTGTTTTGATGATTTCTAAGTCAAGTTCGAACATCTTGGTCATTTGGATAAAAAAACTAGGTCACACCGCCCAAGATATGGAAAAACCTTGTTAAATTCTAGTTCACATTTTCGACTCAATATCATCAAACTTGGTAGGATGCTTGTATAGGTAATTGCTTGGATGAGTTCGAATCGCTGTGGAATAGGTCCGGAGCTAAAATAGAAAAATCTTGTTAAACACTCTAAGTTTGCGTACGTTTTGATCCAAGTATCCTTGAAATTGGTCTAAAAGTTTTTTGTGATTTTTAGTAAAAGTTTGAATATTTGTTGGGTAAAAAACTATCGCACTGCTAAAATATGGATAATCCTTTTAACACTGTAGTGGTCACTTTTTGACTCACCTGTCATAGAGACTTTTGGTCAGAATGCTTGTCTAGGGTAATTGTTTGGATGAGTTTTTGATAAACAGGTGAGCGATCTAGGGCCACGTGGCCCTCTTTTAATGAAGCCTTTTCACCAGTATACAGGTCAGGACAAATCCAAAGCTCGGCAAATGAATTATGGGGAAATTCGCAGCAGGTTGACGGGGTTACTTTAAATTATATAGGTCATGTGACTGATGAGCAAATAACTTTTTCTCCACACTGCTGTTTGTTCTAATCTCATGAGTGACATATAAGTAAGATATCTAGTAGTTTTGTGGGATGTTCTTGAAGTTATTGTGCCGCCTGGTGTTTGAAATAATGCATAAAGTGACACATGGGTCATTGTAAAAAAGCCTTCCT